ATTTTTCCAACAATTGTTTACAAACAGATTATTTCACTTATAATTCACTGTATCACAATTCCAGTGGGTCAGAAGTTTACATACACTAAGTTGACTGTGTCTTTAAACAGCTTGGAAAATTCCAGAAAATGATGTCATGGCTTTAGAAGCTTCTGATAGGCTAATTGACATAATTTGAGTCAATTGGAAGAGTACCTGTGGATGTATTTCAAGGCCTAGCTTCAAACTCAGTGCCTCTTTGCTTGACATCATCGGAAAATCAAAATAAATCAGCCAAGACCTCAGATTTTTTTAGGGGACCTCCACAAGTCTGGTTCATCCTTGGGAGCAATTTCCAAACGCCTGAAGGTACCACGTTAATCTGTACAAACAATAGTACGCAAGTTTAACACCATGGGACCACGCAGCCGTCATACCGCTCAGGAAGGAGATTAACGTACTTTGGTGCAAAAAGTGCAAATCAATCCCAGAACAACAGCAAAGGACCTTGTGAAGATGCTGGAGGAAACAGGTACAAAAGTATCTATATCCACAGTAAAACAAGTCCTATATCGACATAACCTGAAAGGCCACTCAGCAAGGAAGAAGCCACTGCTCCAAAACCGCCATATAAAAGCTAGACTACGGTTTGCAACTGCATATGGGGACAAAGATCTTACTTTTTGGAGAAATGTCCTCTGTGGTCTGATGAAACAAAAATAGAACTGTTTGGCCATAATGACCATCGTTATGTTTGGAGGAAAAACGGGGCGGCTTGCAAGTCGAAGAACACCATCCCAACCGTGAAGCACGGGGGTGGCAGCATCATGGTTTGGGGGTGCTTTGCTGCAGGAGAGACTGTTGCACTTCACAAAATAGATGGCATCATGAGGAAGGACAATTATGTGGATATATTGAAGCAACATCTCAAGATATCAGTCAGGAAGTTAAAGCTTGGTCGCAAATGAGTCATCCAAATGGACAATGACCCCATGCATACTTCCAAAGTTGTGGCAAAATGGCTTAAGGACAACAAAGTCAAGGTATTGGAGTGGCCATCACAAAGCCCTGACCTCAATCCTATAGAAAAGTTGTGGGCAGAACTGAAAAAGCGTGTGCGAGCAAGGAGGCCTACAAACCTGACTCAGTTACACCAGCTCTGTCAGGAAGAATGGGCCAAAATTCACCCAACTTATTGTGGGAAGCTTTTGGAAGGCTACCCGAAACGTTTGACCCAAGTTAAACAATTTAAAGGCAATGCTACCAAATACTAATTGAGTGTATGTAAACTTCTGACCCACTGGGAATGTGATGAAATAAATAAAAGCTTAAATAAATCCTTCTCTCTACTATTATTCTGACATTTCACATTCTTAAAATAAAGTGGTGATCCTAACTGACCTAAGACAGGGAATTTTTACTAGGATTAAATGTCAGGAAGTGTGAAAAACTGAGTTTAAATGTATTTGGCTGAGGTGTATGTAAACTTATGACTTCAACTGTGTAACTCTGGGTGTTTTTGTATCTGTCTGCTCTTTTATGTTTATATACACCATTCGTGCGTGTGTTCAATAAAACATATTTGAGCGGAATACGTGTTTCATTATGACGGCTGTGTCTAAAAGTCTCCAATCCTTTGAACAGCCTAATTACACTTAAATAGAGCACATCACCTTGCACAGTAAAAGCAGATGTTCTGAAATTAACATAAAACATTAGGATACTGAAAAAATACATTTATCTTCTTCAGTCTTTTGTCCTCTAAAGCCTTGTTCACACTGCAGGCCTTAATGCTCAAATCATTTTTGTTTTTTAAGTCCGTTTTGGAATACTGACTGTCAAAATAGCAAGTTACAAGTGACCAAAATCGGATTTGTGTGCGTTCAGCAGGCATTTGCTGACAAGGCTACGCTAGTTGTCATAGTAACGACGGGCATGTGCGTAGTGGTATAGGCTGATTGGTGGGGGTGCTCGTGCTTCCTATCACTCACGCCTCGATCACACCGACAGCGTCATTGTGTTTTGGTACACCAGAAGTACATTCATATCCAATGGAACGTTGCGTTTGCCTTGCAGCATTGCGTTGCAGAGGCAGTTGCAGTGCGTTCTGTGTGGTGCATACTTTGGATTTATCTAACATATGCATCAAATTGTATGCGTAGATGGCTTGACAGAAATTGTAGCAGAAGGTGAATGTTGAACTTTTGTTGCACACATATCCAGATGATGAGGCGTACCATTTTGTAGGTGTGATCGAGGCATCAGAAGTTATGTAGCAAGCTAAGGTGACAACAATTGCTGCCATGGATGTTTCCTAGTTGCTTTGAATGTTCAAAATCATAGTGTAAGAACACTTTTAAAGCCTCAAAGGATAAGAGGATCCATTCAAAACAAGCATTTTTTGGCTAGCCACAGCAGTCAATTTGCTTGCTAGGTAGCTGTTTAGCTTTCTAGCACATTCACTAATTTGTTTATAAACAATTAACAAGCTAATTAGATACCACATGTTCTTGTCAAACTGTCAACAGAATAGCTAGCAAGCAACAAGATATGCCAAATAGCAGTCTAAAAACCACTTGAGGGCAAATAAATCAGATTTGACACAAGTCGCATGGCCAGGAATAAGATTTCTATCTGAAATGTGGCTTGAAATAGCCGATTCCATGTGCTTTTTGGCTGTTCAGACTGCAGGAAAAATAACAGATTCTAATCGGATATGCAAGAAAATTGGATTTGAGTCACTTCAAACTGCCAATGTGAACAAGGCTTAAGGGTCCCATGCAGTCAAATCTGTCGTATTTTTTTTTTTTTATGGTTAAACCTTGCAAAATGATTATTTAAATAAATTTACCCAGCCAATTAATCCAAACATGCTTCCTTGATGCATGGCACAAATGTACAAATGTATCCTGCAAATCTGTTAATAGGTTTTTGATTGTGGGTAGTGCTTGAAGTATTTTTTTAAACACCCAAAACTACATTGAAATGTCAATAATTATCTATTGAAAAGCAAGTCTGTCCTGGAGAGCTAACACTTAATTTTCCATTAAAAGGCCACTTATAAATGTACACTAGCTCTGGCCTTCACACAATTTCAAACACAGCTCATTATGATGCAGCACATGGACCTCAACCATAGGATGGAAGATGAAGTAATACACTGTAGCCTATATTATAGCAAAATCTTAACAGATCTTAACAGATGAAACATTATGGAGTCTTAAAGGAGGCCTAGGTAAGGCCAAAATGTCACAAATATTCCAACTTCAATTCATTATTTCTCAATTATGCTTTAAGATAAAAATATCAGTACCTTCAGAAAGTATTCATACCCCTTGACTTATTCCACAGTTTGTTGTGTTACTGCCTGTTTTAAAAATGGATTAAATATATTTTTCTCTCTCACCCATCTACACACGATACTCCATAATTACAAAAAATATTTTTGGAATTTTTTGGACATTTATTGAAAATGAAATACAGAAATATAAAATGTACTTAAGTATTCAAACCCCTGAGTCAATACATGTTATAATCACCTTTGGTAGTGATTACAGCTGTAAGTATTTCTAGGTAAGTCTCTTAAGAGCTTTGCACACCTGGATTGTAAAAAATTCGCACATTATTATTTTCAAAATTCTTCAAGCTATGAAGTTGGTTGTTGATCATTGCTAGAAAGCCATCTTCAAGTCTTGCCATATATATTCAAGTCGATTTAAGTCAAAACTGTAACTAGGCCACTCAGGAACATTCAATATTGTCTTGGTAAGCAACTACATTGTATATTTTGCCTTGTGTTTTAGGTTATTGTCCTGCTGAAAGGTGAATTTGTCTCCCAGTGTCTGTTGAAAAGCAGACTGAACCAAATTTTCCTCTAGATTTTTGCCTGTGCTTAGCTCTATTCCGTTTATTTTGATCCTAAAAAACTCCCTAGTCCTTGCTGATGACAAGCATACCCATAGCATGATGCAGCCACCACCATACCTGAAAATACTCAGTGATGTGTTGTGTTGGATTTGCCCCAAACATAACGCTTTGTATTCAGGACATAAAGTAAATTACTTTGCCAATTCTTTTGCAGTTTTACTTTAGTGCCTTATTACAAACAGGATGCATGTTTTGGAATATTTTTATTCTGTACAGACTTCCTTCTTTTCACTCTGTCATTTAGGTTAGTATTATGGAGTAACTACAATGTTGTTGACCCATCCTCAGTTTTCTCCATTAAACTCTGTAACTGTTTTAAAGTCACCATTGGCCTCATGGTGAAATCCCTGAGCGGTTTCCTTCCTCTCCAGAAACGGAGTTAGGAAGGACGCCTGTATCTTTGTAGTGACTGGGTGTATTGATACACCATCCAAAGTGTAATTAATAACTTCACCATACTCAAAGGGATATTCAATGTCTGCTTTTTTTTAACCAATCTACCAATAGGTGCCCTTCTTTGCGAGTCATTGGAAAACCTCCCTGGTATTTGTGGTTGAATCTCTGTTTGAAATTCACTGCTCGACGGAGGGACCTTACAGATAATTGTATGTGTGGGGTACAGAGATGAGGTAATCATTCAAAAATCATGATAAACACTATCATCGCACACAGAGTGAGTCCATGCAACTTATTATGTGACTTGTTAAGCAAATTTACTACAGAACTTATTTAGGCTTGCCATAACAAAGGCGTTGAATACTTATTGACTCAAGACATTTCAGATTTTCATTAATTTGTAAAAATTTCTAAAAACATAATTCCACTTTGACATTATGGGGTATTGTGTGTAGGCCAGTGACACAAAATCCTAATTTAATCCATTTAAAATTCAGGCTGTAACACAACAAGTTGTGGAAAAAGTCAAGGTGTGTGTCTACTTTCTGAAGGCACTGTATATGTCATCACTCCTTCCTTCAAAGGACCCTTCTATGGATTTTGAAAATCCCCAAAATCATGGTATTTTTTGTTTGTTTTCAGTTTCGTGAGGAATAACCCATGGAATCAAATTGTCACAGCCACTTTGGATGGAGGGATTACCGTTGCGTGGTGGTTTGTGGAAGTATGATCGGCGTACACGCAATTCCTGCAAAAGACTCAGGGAAGTGCAAATCCCTCTCCCACTCATCAGTCTCTGTGTTGTACACTTGCACGATGCTTGTGACATTGTTTAGATGCCAATTGTACCCTCCAACGATATAGATATTTTTATCCAACAAGCAGCAGCCTGCCTCTGATTGCCCTGCTCGCATGGGGCTAACAGTGGTCCACTGGTCATTCTCGGGGATATAATACTCAACCGCCAGGACGTCAAAGCAGCGATCCACGTGGTCCATGCGACCGCCCAGGCAGTAAACACGATCTTTGGCGCTGATCATAGCATGAAGCACTCTGGGCTCGTTCATGGGCGATTTGAAGTCCCATTGGTCAGATGTGGGATCATAACAGTGCAGGGTTTTCTTATCGTCCACCGAGACACCGTAACCCCCTGAGATGTAGAGCTTGTCGCCACAGGGAGTTCCTGCATGGCCCCAGATTCTGCGTTTCAGTGGTTCTACGTATGTCCACTCGTTTTTCTTGGGACAGTAGCACTCTACTGACGACAGACTTCCAGATCGGTTGCGCCCCCCAGTGGCGTAGAGTTGTCCTTGAAGAACGTTGAGCTGGAACTGAATGCGCCCCTCCTGCATCGGCTGGATGCGCAGCCATTGGCTCAGGTGCGGGTCATAGCGGAAGCAGATGTCCACCGCCCCTTCGCCGCTGCGGTACTGCAGGTGCTGCCCGCCGACTACGTACACAAAGTTGTCTAGTACCGATACACAGGCGTGGCTGGAACCGGTCTCCGTCTCCGTTAGTTCCTTGAACTGACGCGCTGCAATGTCTGGAAGATAGAACACCTTACTGCTCACAGTGCGATCATTGTCGGTGTAGGGTGTCCCACCAAAGGTAATGAGCGAAACCACTTCAGAGCGGATCAGGGTGCGCGGGGACTGCATCTCGTGCTGACGAAAGGGGAGGATCTGGAAGTTGAAGGCCTCCAGGAGGTACTGCCTGCACAGCACATCCTCTACCATGATGTCCACCGTCTGCACGCTGTCCACCAGCTCCGAGGAGCGCATCAGGGGGAATCGCACGTGGCAGAGCACTTTGTTGGCTCCGGCCCGGCGGGCCTCGTCGTGCTGCAGCCAGCGGATGGCAGCGTGGAACAGGTCGATCTCGCTGCAGTTCTTCAGCTTGTTGCTCTGCAGGAAGAAGACCAGGCGCTCCATGGGAATGTGCAGGAAGTCCTCCTCCTCAGCGATCTGCAGGAAGTGGCGGAAGGTAAAGGCGTCCACAGACTCCTTGAGGGAGGACAGGTTGAAGGTGGTGGCCATCTGGCCGATGTTCAGGCAGGTCTCTACGCTCATGGCCGACTTGAGGAACTCCTCACAGAGCTCCACGACTGGGACCATCTGGAGAAAGACAGCTGCTCCCAGTACATCCTGAATGCAGTCCAGGTCAAGTGTGACGTCTGCGCTGTAGGCAAAGTCAATGATGTGTTTCAGGCCGCGGGCAGACAAGCCCTTCAGCTCAATGGTGTCTTTGTTTGACTCCCTCATGCCTCCGGTGAACATGGCTCTGCAAGGCAAGTGAGAAATCCATTTAAATAACTGTCTTTATGTTAAACTTGTTTTATTGATTTCCCCCCATTCTAAACAACATATTAATCTGAGGTAAATTAGACACTGAACAACTACCCTACTTGTCATGCAACATCAGGACAAGAACATCAGATTATTCATTGAAACATATTCACATTGCACATTGTACACCTGTAATGTTATTATATCCCTCCCTATCAGTTCCAAATACTGTACCAATTCCTCTTATTTTCTCTCTACCATGCCTCTCGTCTGACTCAGCTTTTGATGAATCAATTATTTCACACCAAAGCCTAATTCACCAACACAATCACACTCTTCCCTTCACCTCTACATCTGTATTATGATTTGATTTGATTTGTACGTCTCTTTACCTGGGTCTCGCTTTACCGGTCAGTGTATCACTATAGTCAGAGAATACATCCAGTGTCCAGTTCTCTCAAATCAGTGCAGGTGAAAGGAAAGGAGACGAGGAGCAGAAGCCATTTTGGAGACATAGCGTCAGTCTCACCTGAAGTAGTCACTGCAGGAGGCCAGCACTGCCTTGTGAACCTGGAAGCGCACCTCATTGATGGCCAGCACCACATCCAGGAGCTGCCCCTGGGCTCGCAGGACCGACAAGCCCTGCAGGAGAGTGGCGCTATGGCTTGGGGCTGAGAACGTGCAACGCAGGGTGCTATTCTGGTTAGCCATACTGGAAGAGAAAAGGCCTATCACTGTCAGTTTATCAGAATAGGGTATTTTAAAAAGTATTTCTACTTATCTTCTGCCAATTAAGCTTCTAGGATGCTTGTCAGAGTTTACTGATCCTGTTGTAGCATCAGTGACAGTGCTGAGCTCTTGCTCTCCTGCACTTTGTCCATCCGTTTTCCCAACAACTGCATCATCACCCTCATCCCAACTCCCTTTTCTTTTAAATTATTCAGCTGCTACATTGGAATAAATGCATTATTTTGTATTCAAAACACAAAGTCTGTGTTAATGATAATATATATCCCTTTAACACTAGAGAATATCTTTAATTGTTCACCACTTTCAGGACAATTTAATCTCACTAGATATTGAGTGAGGATATTATTTTGTCAATGGATAAAAGTGGTATAGGCTGCCTATCTATGATACCTGGGGGGAAATTATAACTGTAAATCATAATTTATGTTGAGACATTATATTTTGTTAAATAGAATGAAGTTGCCTACATATTTATCCAATATATAGCCTACATGTGGGAAATGTTGTGTCAATTATTGTGGTGACTTACAATATGACTGACTGTGCATGTTTAGTGTTGCCACTGGTAACTGGCAGAAGGCTAGTCAGTTTTATGTTTCAAGTTTATCAATTAAACATAATGAAATCAAATAATTATGACTGCTTGGCTGTTTTGAGACAAATACTTGATTGGGTTTGGTTGAAAAGTGTTATTTTTGTGTGTTTTTTGTAAAGAAAAATCAAACGGACAACTAGCTATAGGCTACATTATCATCAATAAGTGGCGGATCAAACTTTGTAAGCCATAACATTTTTCATTTGATGCTGAAGAAATAGGGACTATGCAATGTGTTGCGCTGCTGCACCTGCTAGAGGAAACTTGCGTATCCGGATCCACGAGGGGGCTAAAGGGGGCTTAGCCCCCTCAGTAAACATCTGCCCCCTCAGTTTTAGTTGTATGTCCCTATATAAAAATAGCTATAAAGTTCATATGATAGAGTGACAGTTTGGCGCAAAAAAAATCGGTATCTCCGCTGCGCTGCGTCAGCACAATGGGCAGAGCGCACCGCGGAGTGTGTAGGGGGGCTATGGAAAGCCACTGGGGCAGTTAGGTATGACTCCTTTAGGTTTCCATAAAAAGTGGGAAAAACGCGTCTCATCTCTGTGGTAGGCTAAGTGAATAACGTGATACGCCTCTGCTTGTAATATTTGATTTACAAGGGCGGGGTCAAGTTTACCAGTCGGGCCCTGGTGAGGATGCCGTGCAGGAGGCCTGTCTGTCTCCTTCCTGCTCCTCTGCTGTCTGCCCTATGATGGGGTGTATGAGGTTTTCATCCCGACATTGACTGACACTGATTATGACCGAGCTATTTCCGTAACCTGGAGAGGAGAGGGTGTGCTCTGACCCTTTCCCCGGGCTTGGAGAGAAAATGACTGCACCGCAAAATGTTCTTAGGTGTGGCATGGAAGTCTGGAGACAACCCCAGTGGGAGGTCTGGAGACAACCCCAGTGTCCACTGTGCATCGTTCTGGAGAGAATTCTCCCTTACCTGCTTCAACAAAGGCCCATGCGGGGAAGTTTGTGCTCCTGCATCGCCAAAAGGTTAGTCGACAGCTGAAGGTAAGATTTCAGTTGAAGAGAAAAATAATGACCACTGCTACATCCTGACAATGTTTATGAGGTTACTGCTTATGTGTGAGGAACGTGTCTCGAGCATAATTTAAAATGTCGAGACCAGAATAAGAGGAGGGGTGTGTGGCGAAGATGCGCTATAGGCACGTCTCTCTCCACTATTGCGCACTGACTCCCGCCAATTCGTGCACACTATTTGTTTCAATGTGTCAATTGTTTGACAGTGTTTATCAATGCCCCATGAAATATATATTAATCAGTGAAGTTACTGTTAATCCAAACATATTCCCCCATTCATTTAGAATGTTTGGTTACAGAAATGTGTGTAATTCATTAAATATAGCCTAATAGGCCTATACATTCATACCATTTTCATTCTCCAAGTGGAAACGTTGTTTGGAGAGCTCACAAACTGCGCAACACTTGTGATACATAACTTTTGGTTTATTTAATTGCATTTACCAGTTAACTGTCAATTTCTTTCATTGTCTTTGTTTGGAGAGCATGTGTCCGGTTTCTCCGTCATGTTTAACGTTGTGTGAATGCGCGCACTTTAGCGTGCGTATATATACCTGGCCTGCGCGCCAAGAATAGTTCACTTGTGGGTAATTCAAGGGGAGGCTGTATCTGAGCCTGGTATACCACACCTGTGCTTTATTGGTTAAGACAGGTGTTGCCTGATGAGAGGCTTTTTCTTTTGAATGCTGACATTTGTAAGTCAGAACTTTGTATATATATTTGTAAATATCACCGTCACCTTTGAAACACCAGCGCTGTCTAAATAAACCCAACACTCATTTGCACCTCTACCTGCCTGCCTGCTGAATCTTTGTCCTTACGACTGCTAGAAGGCCTATTTTATGCTGATACAGCTCAGCGGATATAGGCTACATATTTCGCGCCAACCCGTCACTTCAAAAGCACTCAATGATCTCGGAGTCTCTGCATTTGAACTTTATGTTTATTGTGGTATAACTTGATGTAAGCACAATTCAATATAATTCCAATACAAGAACCCACCAAAAATGTAGCCCCTTGCCGATTTCAACTGCCCCCTTAAATCCCTTTATCCTGGCGCGGGGTCTGTAACTATGAATGTAACAATGTTACGACAGAATTCCAAACTGGTAGCCTAACATTGTTTCTTACTCACACCTTATCATTGGCAATATTTAACCTACAATGTAGCCTACCATGGATACAATGTACAATGAATGAATCAATCTGCAACGATATGACAATTCATGCAAAAAGGGCCAGTATCCTCGGGAATTTCCTTAAAATTCACCCGAATGTCCTCTCGCCCAATGTTTCACATTTATAAAATGTTTAATTCCATGTAGGCCTATCACATGCACATTTATCTCTGGCTGCCTTTTGGTCTACATACAGTCTTTCCATATTGATTTCACCACTAGTGTCATCCTCACCTGTTCTGCGGACGATTTGAGGCGAAATCCCCACCATCAGACTCCGCCATCTTCTAATGTAGCAGTAGGTCAAAAGCATAACAAAATAAACGCATCAAGCCTATCGATAAGCCAACTATTCAACAAATGATGTTGCTTTCCCCCGTGCTAAAAGATGGTTATCTCTGCACCAGATGTAAATGTTCTGTTTTGCTGGGACCTCCGTTTTTCGGGATTGCGCTGAGCGCACGCGATACAGTGTACTTTTGTGGATGCAAGGACGTCTCTGTCTAGGAAAACCTCTGCACAGATAAGGAGCAGAAGTGTGACCAGCAGCTAGACGGATTCCACAATGATTTGTATTTTGCCTGTACATTTCATAATATACACTACCGGTGAAAAGTTTTAGAACACCTGCTCATTCAAGGGTTTTTCTTTATTTTTGCTATTTTCTACATTGTAGAATAAGAGTGAAGACATCAAAACTATGAAATAACACATATGGAATCATGTAGTAAACAAAAAAGTGTTAAACAAATCAAAATATATTTTATATTTGAGATTCTTCAAATAGCTACCCTTTGCCTTGATGACAGCTTTGCACACTCTTGGCATTCTCTCAACCAGCTTCATGAGGTAGTCACCTGGAATGCATTTCAATTAACAGGTGTGCCTTCTTAAAAATTAATTTGTGGAATTTCTTTCCTTCTTAATGCGTTTGAGCCAATCAGTTGTGTTGTGACAAGGTATACAGAAGATAGCCCTATTTGGTAAAAGACCAAGTCCATATTATGGCAAGAACAGCTCAAATAAGCAAAGAGAAACGACAGTCCATCATTACTTTAAGATATGAAGGTCAGTCAATACGGAACATTTCAAGAACTTTGAAAGTTTCTTCAAGTGCAGTCGCAAAAACCATCAAGCGCTATGATGAAACTGGCTCTGCCACAGGAATAGAATACCCAGAGTTACCTCAGCTGCAGAGGATAAATTAATTAGAGTTACCAGCCTCAGAAATTGCAGCCCAAATAAATGCTTCACAGAGTTCAAGTAACAGACACATCTCAACATCAACTGTTCAGAGGAGACTGCATGAATCAGGCCTTCATGGTCGAATTGCTACAAAGAAACCACTACTAAAGGACACCAATAAGAAGAAGAGACTTGCTTGGGCCAAGAAACACAAGCAATGGACATTAGACTGGTGGAAATGTGTCCTTTGGTCTGGAGTCCAAATTCAAGATTTTTGGTTCCAACCGCCGTGTCTTTGTGAGACGCGGTGTGGGTGAACGGATGATCTCTGCATGTGTATTTCCCACCGTGAAGCATGGAGGAGGAGGTGTTATGCTCTGGGGGTGCTTTGCTGGTGACACTGTCTGTGATTTATTTAGAATTCAAGGCACACTTAACCAGCATGGCTACCACAGCATTCTGCAGCGATATGCCGTCCCATCTGGTTTGGGCTTAGTGGGACTATCATTTGTTTTTCAACAGGACAATGACCCAACACACCTCCATGCTGTGTAAGGGCTATTTTACCAAGAAGGAGAGTGATGGAGTGCTGCATCAGATGACCTGGCCTCCACAATCCCCCGACCTCAACCAAACTGAGATGGTTTGTGATGAGTCAGACCGCAGAGTGAAGGAAAAGCAGCCAACAAGTGCTCAGCATATATGGGAACTCCTTCAAGACAGTTGGAAAAGCATTCCAGGTGAAGCTGGTTGAGAGAATGCCAAGAGTGTGCAAGGCTGTCATCAAGGCAAAGGGTGGCTATGAAAAATATATTTTGATTTGTTTAACACTTTTTAGGTTACTACATGATTCCATATGTGTTATTTCATAGTTTTGATGTCTTCACTATTATTCTACAATGTAGAAAATAGTAAAAATAAATAAAGACCCTTGAATGAGTAGGGGTTCTAAAACTTTTGACTGGTAGTGTATATGTATATTTAAACAGGCTCTTATGTTGTTTTGGACTGCTGTTTAAGGCATTCGTTAAAATTACACTCGGCTATTATTGTTGCATCAATTATTTATGATGTAGCAGTCGGGCTAGCTAGCATGCCAGCTAACCATCATAATGGGTTTGGTTAGCTAGCCAATTGAGCTAGCTAGTGTCGTCAACCAGATTAGCATCTGAATTCGAATTATTTTGAGTGTAATGCAGTTGATTGGTGACAATGGTATGAATTAACATACGCTACCGTTCAAAAGTTTGGGGTCACTTAGAAATGTCCTTGATTTCGAAAGAAAAGCAATTTTTTGTCCATTAAAATAACATCAAATTGATCAGAAATACAGTGTAGACATTGTTAATGTTGTAAATGGCTATTGTAGCTGGAAACGGCTGATTTTCCAACTGAGAAAATCTGGTGGGGGATTATTGGAATGTTGAATAGCTTGTGGAGAGGTTGATGCATCACTTTTCCAACAGTTTTTCTTCACTCCGCCGTCGGACATTTCAGCTAATGTCACGCGACGTGTATGCGGTCAGCGAAGTCAAACACAGGACACAGAGCGGCTGGCAACGTACTTTACTGAACACAGTAAAAATGTACAAAACAACAAACCTCCAAACAGGGAGGAAAACACAAAGACCCGTAACACAAAGCAACTGCCGAAATGACAAAGAACAATCACACACAAAATAACCAGTGAGAGACAGGGGGTAATATAGGGAATACAATCCAACATAATGGGAAACAGATGTAAACAATAAAGACCAAACAAGACAAACACCAAAACATCGATCGGCAGCAGCTAGTACTCCGGGGACGACGAACGCCGAAGCCTGCCCGAGCAAGGAGGAGGAGCAGCCTCGGCTGAATCCGTGACAGTACCCCCCCCTTGACGCGCGGCCCCAGCCGTGCGCCGACCCTGGCCTCGGGGACGGCCAGGAGGACGCTGAGCAGGGCGAGTCGGATGACTCCGGTGGAAATCCCTCAACAGGGAGGGATCTAAGATGTCCCTCCTAGGGACCCAGCACCGTTCCTCCAGACCGTACCCCTCCCACTCCACGAGATACTGCAGACCCCCCATCGAATCCACGATGGAACGGACTGAGAATGCCGGAGCCCCCTCGATGTCTAGTGGGGGCGGAGGAGCCTCTCGTATCTCATTCTCCTGGAGTGGACCAGCTACCACCGGCCTGAGGAGAGACACATGGAACGAGGGGTTAATGCGGTAATTAATGGGCAGTTGTAACCTATAACATACCTCGTTCAATCTCCTCAGGAATTTAAATGGCCCCACAAACCGCCGACTCAGCTTCCGGCAGGGCAGGCGAAGGGGCAGGTTTCGGGTCGAGAGCCAGACCCGATCTCCCGGTGCATACACCGGAGCCTCACTGCGGTGGCGGTCGGCGCTCGCCTTTTGCCGACTGATAGCCCGCTGCAGATGGACATGCGCAGCGTTCCATTTTTCCTCCGAGCGCCGAAACCACTCATCCACCGCAGGGGCTTCGATCTGGCTCTGATGCTAGGGTGCCAGGACCGGCTGATAACCCAGCACACACTGAAAAGGCGTAAGATTAGTGGATGAGTGGGGGAGTGAGTTTTGGGCTATCTCTGCCCAGGGGATATACCCCGACCACTCCTACTGCCGGTCCTGGCAATAGGACCTCAGAAACCTACCCACATCCTGGTTTACTCTCTCCACCTGCCCATTACTCTCAGGGTGAAAACCCGAGGTAAGGCTAATCGAGACCCCCAGACGTTCCATAAATGCCCTCCAGACTCTAGAGGTGAACTGGGGACCCCGATCAGACACTATATCCTCAGGCACCCCGTAGTGCCGGAAGACGTGAGTAAACAGGGCGTCGGCCGTTTGCAGGGCTGTAGGGAGACCTGGCATAGGAATGAGACGGCAGGCCTTAGAAAACCGATCCACAACGACCAAGATCGTGGTGTTCCCCTGGGAGGGGGGAAGGTCCGTGACAAAATCCACCGATAGGTGAGACCACAGCCGTTGTGGAACGGGTAGGGGTTGTAACTTCCCTCTGGGCAGGTGTCTAGGCGCCTTACACTGGGCGCACACCGAGCAGGAAGAAACATAAACCCTCACGTCCCTAGCAAAGGTGCGCCACCAGTACTTCCCACTAAGGCAGTGCACTGTCCGACCAATACCAGGATGACCAGAGGAGGGTGACGTGTGAGCCCAATATATCAGTCGATCACGGACCTCGAGCGGCACGTACTTCCGTCCCTCTGGACACTGTGGGGGAGTAGGGTCGGCACGTAACGCCCGCTCGATGTCCGCATCGACCTCCCACACTACCGGTGCCACCAGACAAGACTCCGGAAGTATGGGAGTGGGCTCAATGGACCTCTCCTCTGTGTCATATCGTCGGGACAGGGCGTCTGCCTTAGCATTCTGTGACCCTGGTCTATAAGTGAGCTTAAATACAAATCGGGTAAGAAACATGGCCCACCTAGCCTGACGAGGGTTCAGTCTCCTCGCTGCCCGGATATACTCCAGGTTACGATGGTCAGTCAGAATGAGAAAAGGGTGTTTAGCCCCCTCAAGCCAATGCCTCCACACCTTCAGGGCTTGAACCACCGCTAGCAGCTCCCTGTCCCCCACGTCATAATTGCGCTCCGCCGGACTGAGCTTCTTAGAATAGAAAGCACAGGGGCGGAGTGTTGGAGGCGTGCCCGAGCGCTGAGACAGTATAGCACCGATCCCCGCCTCGGACGCATCCACCTCAACTTGGAACGCCAAAGAGGGATCCGGATCTGCCAGCACCGGAGCCGAGGTGAAGTCCTTCAGATGTCTAAACGCCCTGTCCGCCTCAGCCGACCACTGCAAACGCACCGGGCCCCCCCTTAGCAGGGAGGTGATGGGAGCTGCTACCTGTCCAAAGCCCCGGATAAATCTCCGGTAGTAATTGGCAAAACCCAAAAACCGCTGCACCTCCTTCACCGTGGTGGGAGTCTGCCAATTACACACGGCTGAAACGCGGTCAATCTCCATCTCCACCCCTGACGCGGACAACCGATGTCCCAGGAAGGAGATGGACTCCTGGAAGAACAGACATTTCTCCGCCTTCACATACAGGTCATGCTCTAACTGTCTACCAAGCACCCGATGCACCAGGG